GTCGATAAAAAGGTGGCAGCAGAAACAACAAGCAAATAAGATATCAAAGCTAAAGAATAACAGGTAGTAATATAAATGTAAAGATAAAGAAAAACAACAAGAAGAAGAACATTAATACTCTGAGAATTGAAAGAAATACACTCCCTGTCCTATTAACCTTCTACCCTAATCTTCGACCTCCACACCCTCCTATCAAGGGTCATGTCTCGGCGAGCTGAAACTGCATCGTATCCAGCCTAATAAGTAATCACATCACGCCGATACTTCTTAGACCTACCTCTACTCTGCCTCACGCCCAGTGGCCCACAACGACCAACATCTCACGTCTCCTAAGCAGGACATCCATGCATCTCATCTTTACATGATCTCGAAACACAAATACTCGCAGAGATACGTGTAAAATTCTTCCTCTTAATGAGATGATGTTCAGGTAGCTTGCTTACACCTCGACTATTCCCACTTGAATTGTGGTAACTCCCCACAGCTACAGACAAAGATACTGGGTAACTCCGCATAGTATGTTTACATATTTCTCATTCGTAACTCTATCGTGACACTCTGAGAGGTAAAAACAATAAACCATTCGCGACAAAGGTACTACCTCAGTGATAAATGATAACAACAAAATTTACCTCCATCAATGAAAAATCATATGTTGCTCAGTCTATCTAAAAATGCTTTTGCCCTCATGTCGGTTCCTCTAAGTGGGCATTTTTTAAGAGTCCGAGCAACATTGTTAGCTACTGCATTCATGGTACTCAAATCTTTCCATCCAAACTCAATGCAATGTATATGCAAATCCTACGAACTAAGTTACATATTTCAAGAATCCAAGCAACATTGCTAACTAATGCACACATGGTACTCAAATCTTTCAATCCAATCCTATCGAATATGGATGAAGTACCCTATCGGAGCAAGCGCACACTATACTATGTACAACTACGATAGTACATCGATTGCTTAAGTGAGATGATTCTTTTTGCCAGCCCAATGAATCAAAAACACTATAGGATTTCTTCCCATCCATCCAAGCCTTGGTAGACAGAATTACCGATTCCAATCAGTCAGCGGTTATCAAACAAGGTTCATTGACACCATTGTCTAACCTAATTGAATAAATTCAAACAATTTCATCATATCCTTAGCTACTGCTAATCAACTAAAATGACCACACATTACAATGCTCAACATAAAGCATCAAAAAAAGGGATTTTTTTTCAAGAACTTACAACCACAAAATGCAGAAATTTCAGCAAAAAAAGCAGCTACCCTGAAACACCAACAGCCCACCATCTCTTCCAATCTTCATCACTGATAACAGAACCCGAATTTCCCAAATCAACCCGAACCCGGTTCCGACAAATCGGGCAGTTCAGAACCCTAATAAGCCAAGAATCCACACATTTCACATGAAAAAGGTGTCCACAATCAGGTAATTTCCTACAAATTTCTCCATCCTTAAATCCCTCCAAGCAAATCGCACAATCCCTAGCAGATTGCTGTGACCCACAATAACTAACACAAGGCAAATCAAACGATGACGTTGGGGTCGCCGGAAATCGATGGTGGTGGCGACGTCGATGACGTCGGTGGAAGGCGGTTGATGTGATTAAGAAGTGGAGGAGTACAAGCGCGGCGAAACCAAGGAAAAGAAGGAAAATCAAGAAAAGGGAGAGGATTAAAGCCATGATTACACATTTTATGAATAGGGAAATCAATTTTTTCGGCTTAGTTTCTTGATTTTGAATCGGAATTGGCATGGATTTCACAGATTTGGGTGCTTTTTCAAGAGATTTTTGTTTAGAAAAACAGAGAGAGTTCAATCGGATCAGCTATGTTGGGAAGAAGAGATGCTAAGGGGATATACCACTAATAATGGCCCATAGATTTTTGATATACGAGTTTAAATCGTGAAAACAGTCTTTTATTATAATATTACAAGTCTCGAGTGAATATAATATTATAAGGGCTGTTTGGCCATAAATTTTGCAAGTAAAACTTGGGAAAAAATTTGGCAAATACTAGTATTTGGGCCAAATTTCATTATTTGAAAAGTTTTAGAAATTCAATTTTTACCCTTAACTTTTTATTTTACAAAAATAATATATTTATTGACACCAACCAATTCAATTAACTCCCTTCTACATGCATTCTTTTGATTTCATACATTCCTTTATTACAGTTAGTCTTAATGAACTAGCTACTAAATAAAACATGAATTGCATTTATTTTATTTTGGTAGATAAATATTACGTTGTTGATGTTGGTCTACGGAACACAAGAGGATTTTTAGCTCCATTCATTGGAATGCGCTATCATTTGCAGGACTACCGAGGAAGTGAAAGAGAGCCTAAGAATGGAAAAGAGTTATTTAACAATAAACATACTTCTCTGCGCAATGTAATTGAAAGAACTTTTGGTGCATGGAAAAGTAGATTAAGAATACTAAGACAAGGCATGAACAACTATGAATGTGACATGTAAGTGAAAATAGTAATTGTTTGCGCTGTATTGCATAATTTTTTACGTAAACACCAAAGTAGTGATGGAATATTCAATGAAAATGAAAATGATGATATGCTTGTTGATGAAAGTGACGAACTACTGGCTCAGGGTAATAACATCGCTTCATCTTCTCGATCGTCTGATTCAAAAATGTAAGCTCATCGAGAAGAGATTGTTCATAAAATGTGGAAAGGTTATATTAAAGAATAGGTTGAACTCTTTCAGATGAGAAAGCATATGTTCTTTAGTGATTGCAATATTTATTTCCTTTTGTTTTCTTCTCTTTTTTTCTCCGAATATATATTAGTTGTATTTTCATTATCATGATTTGTACCAAGATCTTTTCACTATACGAATATTTACCGTAATGATTCTTGTTGATTTGTTGCGGAAGTTATAAATCTTGTTACGT